TGATTGACAGGTTGCTACTCGTTTCTTATCCTTCAGCCCTCCCCTTTATTGGTTTGCGTCGTATAGAATGAAATCGCGTGGCACTGGTAAAAGATGGGGGATATATAGTTTGGAATTGATCTGCCGCCTATATTCTTCTGGCAGTTTGCTATTTTCGAACTTCTATCCTTTCACCTGATAGTGTTCAGCTAGGAGTCTCAAATGAGAGCTTTTCTATCGAAGAGTTTGCGCCTTCCTCCCTGTCCCCGATTGAATTTGCATACTGAAGGATATTCTTCTAATATTGGGGAGTTCCACTGCTTAATATCTTTAGTTGATTACCTTTGTGTACAAACATCGCGTGACTGTCTGTCCCGAAAAGGTGATAGTTTTGTTCATTTCTACATGCTATATATAGTTTTCACAAAGATCCACTTTGATCCATGTCCTTTCAATTTCATCAAATTTGGTCCTAGTTTACAAACTGTCTCAATTCAAGGAATCACATATACAAGAGTAATATTCAACACTGCAATTTAATTATGGTTAGAGAGAGGAGAATGGCGGCGGCGGATGGGGGTTCTGCAAATCCCAGACCTTCTCCATCTCCATTGTGCATCTTATGTTTGTTCTTTTATTTTTCTTAATACTCTGTCTTTATTTTTTGGTATTTTTATTACTTTCATTATGGAGAGGTAAGGATTATAAATATAAAAAAAAGAACATCAGATCCTTTATAGCCACTTGACATAGTTACAACACTTTTACATAAAAGTTTACCAAACACTCAATCGCTATTTTACAATGTTTATTCTCACAACACAATATAAGTAATTTGATTTAAAAAAAAAACACATCAATACCAAACTAACCCTTAATCACTTATAATAGTGGTGACAAAATAGTATTACAAGGCCTGAGGCCACATAGATGACAGAGGCAATACACTTGAACCACAGAGGAAATGGGATTGTGATGGAAACGAAGAAGGCGGTCACTCCAAAGAAGACACCGAAATAATGGAACACATGAACTATGATTCGTGGGCATTTGGAGTTCTGAATGGACTTGCTAACCAAGATGCTGGAAAAGGAGAGTGTGATTGCGAGACCGAGAAAGCAGAAGGTTAGAGGGAGCTGCTTAGAGTCAAGTTGGACGGGTACGAGAGCCATTCCAATTGCCGTTGACAAGCAGTACGCCAGAATAATCGTTGCCCAATCTAAGTTGTGCTTCCTAGGCTGCCCAGAGCTGGCGGCAGCTGCTGCTAGTGGTGGTTCGGCGGGTGCAGTTGTTTCTAGGTCATTATCCAACGCGCTAGTGAATATTTTGTTGAGTAGTTTCTGCACAAATGCCTTCATTTTTCTGGGAAGGAGGGAGGGAGGGAGAGATGGGTTTGTTAATTAATTCCCAAATATATATATATATATATATAAGAGAATATGTTATATAAGCTGGAGGAGGTGAAGAAGGAGGTGGTGAAGACTTGTAGTAGTAAGGGGATGGGGGTGAAGGTAATGGTGGTGGTGGAGGAGACTTGTAGTAGTAAGGTCGGGGTGAAGGTGACGGTGGGGTGAAGGTGACGGTGGTGGTGGAGATTTGTAGTAGTATGGAGTTGGTGGTTTTGGAGATGGGGGTATATATATATATGTAAACGTGTGTGTGTGTGTGGTGGAGGAGACTTGTAGTAGTAAGGTCGGGGTGAAGGTGACAGTATGGAGTTGGTGGTTTTGGAGATGGGGGTATATATATATATATATACATATATATACATATATATATATATATATATATATATATAAACGTGTGTGTTTGTGTGTGTATATAGATGTATGTATGTATGTTAACCTTTCTGAGGTGCTTTTGAATATTTGTGTACATGTGTGTGTGTATACATATATGTATGTTTACTGAAAGAGATTATCTCTAAATCTCTTTTACCAAGATTATCGGATCTGGATCTTTGAAATTTCATCTAACGGTGCACCTGTTTTGATCCCTTAAAAACTATAATAATTTTTGGCCGTTGGATTAAATTTCAAAGACTCAGATCACTTGATCAGGTGGTCTTGGTGGAAGAGATCCGGAGATGATCTCTTTCCTATGTTTACCTTTCTGAGGTGCTTTTGGATATATATATATATATATATATATATATATATATATATAAGTGTTATTGACACTCCAAAATTCTCATTCTACATTTTTACAAGTGTATTTTTCTTTCTAAATATAAAAAGTTTGGAATGCCAATAACAATTCCCTATATATATATATATATATATGTGTGTGTGTGTATACGTTTCCCTCCTTGGATTTTTGTGAGGTGCTTTTGGATGTTGATTTGTGAGGAGAGTAGTTGGATCTTTGAGGTTGATTATTTACGTTTGCCTCGGATTTTTGTGTGGTGCTTTTGGATGTCGATTCGTGAGGTGATTATGGCTGTTGGATTTGTGAGTTTGATTATGTATGTGTGTGTGTTTGTGTGTTAAACATACATACATATATGTATGTATGTACGTACGTTTGATTTGTGAGGTGCTTTTGGATGTTGATTTGTGAGGTTGATTATGTGTGTGTGTGTGTATATCAAACATACATACATATGTATCTATGTACGTGCGTGCGTACGTACGTTGGCCTCCTTGGATTTTTGTGAGGTGCTCTTGGATGTTGGATTTTTGAGGTTGATTATTTTGAATTTGTAAGGTGCTTTTGGACTTGTGAGGTGCTCAATACGTTTACCTATATGAAATTATGTTTTGACTCCTTGTATATGTGAAAGTTTATGCATACGTACACAAAACTCTAAAAATAAAGGCACACACACATACATATTTGGCACACTCAGAAATGCTTTCATTTTTCTGGTCGGTAAACGTATTACTAATTGTTTATTTATTTATCACAGTTAATTGACTTAACGATCATAAATTACGATATAATAAAATGTTTTGATTATAAATACGAAATTTTGTGAATCGATAATAAATATATTGAGAATAAGTTTCTCCTCATCTTTAAGTAGTCCTACGTTAGTTCTTTAGTTATTTTAATATCGTCACATGCATGACATCTTCCCGAAAACTTAATTAATGAATTATTCAAATTTCTCATATCATGCTGAAAAGACTAAATTTGTAGATAAAATTTTGTAAATTAAATGACATGTAAGTTGATGATTGAATTATTACTTAACCGTTGATAAACGTGCTCAAATCTATTAATAACATATTATTTAATTTGTAAATTTTATTTACAAATTTAATCTCTATATTATTATCCAATTTCTCTCTTATATAAGAAATTTCTCCCCAATTTCCAAAACAAAGATTCTAAACTCACAGGCCCACCCACCCCCAAGACTAAGAAAAGAAAGATTCTAAACTCACAGGCCCACCCACCCCCAAGACTAAGAAAAGAATCAGTTGCCGAGAAACTACCATTTGTATCATTATACAAATGGTGAGATATACGTGTTAAAAAATTTATAACTTAAAAAATAATATTTTTTCACCACTTACATAAAAATACGTAATATACTACGTGTTCCCGTTACAATAAAAAATTTCTGCTGTTTCAACATCTATGTCATTTGCACAAATCCAGCTGTCTAATTTTCATAGGCTTTCATAAGTCCAGAACACCAACTGTCATTTGTACCGGGAACTCCAAAAAACTTCCCGTCTGTATGAGCATTATGTCACATCTCGAAGCAACCAATTGATCTGTTGCTTTGGTACCTTAGATTTGAATCTTGGCTCCAGTTTCCTTATTTGCATTGACCGATTGAAAAGAAATATAGAGATAACACACACGACACAAAGATTATCAGCAGACGTATATGGTAATCACAACTTCACAAGTGTTTGGGCATTACCACAAAAATCTAACTTTAATTGGTTCTGATTATGACTTCCAGGACTATTTATAATCACAAGTACTTATTTATACTTTGGTCGGAAAAGATCCATTTTCTCAGTTTTTAGTGCAAATTTGAATGATTTATTTTAGATTCTTGTTTCGGTAATATATATATATATATATATATATATATCTATAAAATACATCGGACAAGATATTTATATGCAGTTATGATTTACAGATCCAGTACTAGATATGATATTCTGAAATTCAACAACGTAAAAGTGGGAATAAGTGACAAACACAAACTGAACATAAAGAAATTTATCACCGAAACACGGATAGTATATTACGTGTTTTTATATAAGTGGTGGAAAATTTTATTTTTTAAGTTATTAAATTTTTAACCTACATATTCCACATTTTGTATAATAACATGTGGTGTAACATCCATGTTCCAGTCACACTTGAAAATCTCTCCATACAGACATGTAGTGACTTTTCCCTCTTAACATTCAAACTTATTTGCAGGCTGAAATAAAACCATCTGATGGGAGTGAAATACAGGGTGAATTCAGAAACTTATACGTTCATATATCAGCTGAGACATACAAGAAAGTAGATGCAGCGGTTGCCTGTAATTGAACTGCTACTCGCCTCTGTATAAGTGAGTTCCGTTTAATTTTTATTTTAAACATAAAGCTTTACATCCAACAGTTTCTTATAATTTTTTCTTTCTTGCTATTTACTATGATTTTGCAGATGTTTTCTCACTATTGTTACTTGAATTACTTCCATATAGGGAAATCTGGCAGCGATTAGCAGTCCAGAACACTACCACCTCTAATATGGTTCCGACTACTGTGTGATGTATATTACTTTAGTCTAAAGTAGGAGGGAAATTGGCACTATTCATATGAACAGTGTTTTGATCGATATTTCAGTTTATTTACAAGATTGCCATCAAGTGAAGGCAGCTGGGTAGCCTGGGTTAGTTCGTTTTGGGCTGTGTTTGCTGAGCTTACCTCAATTGTTGATGAGATCGGCCTTTGGGTGTTCAAATGATGGGAATGCCCATCTAGGGTTAAGATTGGACGGTCCGGATTAAAAGTTTGGAGGATACTTTTGTCATCTTAATTGTCGAAATCGTTCCCTCTTTTTCTCTCCCGACTCTGTCTGTAACCATCCATCCGCTCTGACGTTTGAGCGCATCTTAGGTTGGGGAGGAGGGCGACGACGAATCCGCTCCGAGTGAACTCGGCTTCCGCCGCAACCCACTCATCGTCTTCGTTTCGCTTCAAAGATCCGAGCTTATCTACATGTCGGTAAAGTACAAATTTCTTCCATAACTCTCCATTCAATCGTCGGTTGATGCATTAATTTCAATCGTCCTTTTTTTCCCCTTATTTCTTCTTCCTCTGCTTCGTTTTTGCTGCTGCTGCTACTTCTTCTTCTTCTTCTTCTTCCCCCTTATGGTTCCCGCCCTCTCTTGCTTTATTTCTTTTGGTATTTTCTCTCTTTATTTCTTCTGATATTTTCTCTCTCTCTTCAAAATCCCACAACAGTCTTGAGTTGGAGGCTTTGGCTCTGTTGGGTTTTTTTCCAATAGCTCAAAGGGCCGAAAGGTATTCCCTTTTCATAATCTTCTTTCCCAATTTCTTTGGGGTTAATTTCGATTTTCTTATGCTATTTGCAGTGGTGCTTTTTAGGGTTTAACTATTTGATTTCACAGATTCATTATAGACACAGTAAATAGTTACATTTTAAATTCGTATTTCATAACTTGGTTGCTTGATTCTAATGTCGATTCGTTACAACAGAAGTGAATTTTTTCTACTTAAAGCATGGAATTTTTGCTTTTGTTTTTATTGTTGTTGCCTTGATTGTGGTTATCTGACTGATTAATACTCCATGATATATTGAGCAATATCGTGCGGCTCAAAGAATTTCGTTTGTGTTTACGGGTATTTTTGTGCTCTGAATAATTCTAATCAAATTCCATTAAGGTCAGAATTTGTAGCATATAAGGGAAGGTTAGCAGATACTTGCCAATTATCCAAAGCTGGATATTAAGGTCTTTAAGCTTAATATCCTTTTGTATGTGTGGCATCTACTTGGAAAAGGTTTCAACTTTAATGTCTGTATGTGTTATTACTCTTCACTGATTGACAAGAACTAGGGTTAAAGAAAAGCATCCTATAAAGTTTAAACTGGAAGGGGGCAGGGTATAAATTACTGGTGAAATGAAACTAGAAATATAGTCTTATGATTTGTGTCTAAAAACATAATAAAGGATATTACTTCCATCGATGATAATAATAAGATTGTTATTTATGTGGTTATGAGTTTCAAGTCTCTTTGATTAAACATTTTCTTTCTTACTCAGGGGTTCACCATGAACCACCTCTTTTTGCAGCTATTATACTTTGATTAGGAAAAGATTGGTGGATTTAGCCTTTGCCTACAGGTACCAAGACTTTTCATCTTTAATTTTGTTTGATTATGAATCATTAGCGTAGTTACGCACTACGATAAGCTCATTCCTATTACTGAACTATAGAATATAGATACAGAGCTGGGTGGCAGATAGGATGAATTGAAGAGTGGAGTTGGGGGTGGCTAGGAAAATGGTGTAGTGGGATTTTGAGAATAGCTCTGCGGCTTGGGGGATGAGGCAACTATGGTGGTTTTCGTGCCTAGAGGAATGAATATTATAGGTCTATATTTTTTGGATAGGCGTAAGAGGCTGCAGTATGGGAGATTGCTTTTCATATGAAGGTCACCAATGATTGGTGGGTTCGATTTTTTGCTAATTTCTTTACTGTTATCCCAGTTTTTTTGATAATTTTAAGGTCTCTGAATTGCTAATAGATTTACCCTTTTTTTTCCTTCAGAATTTTGGGTCGTTGGTGGAACAACTTGGTTGCTTGACATTATAAGGTATATAATTTGCTATACTTTTGTTTTAGTTTCTTCAGTTAGATGTAATGTCACCCATTTGAATCAAAATTTTCTCTTTTGTAGCGGGTTTCATTGTTGAAACTGATTCCACAATGTTTGAATAGGAGCTAAAGGTTTTTGGTTGAGATGTTAATAAGCTTTTCTAATATCTGGTTTTAGGTTTTGAATTCTGCCCGAACAAAACTGAAGTTTATTTCATCTGCTTGATTAAGTACAGTTATGCTTTAAACTACTCACGAGTGTATATTTTATGTTAGAAAATAATCTGACGATTATGCCTTCATGAAAGAAGAGGTGGTAAAAAAGAATTAGAGATAATGAAGACACTGAAACAAGCGAATCATATAGGCAGTTTGTAAATTCTTAAGACCATACCTCCAAACTGAACATAGCACCAAAATTCTTCTGTTCCTCAACTAGCTCTTCTTTTCTTCTTCTTCTCTCCCTCATCGACATCCTCAAATGAATGCTTCTTCGTTTATTAGAGTTGCAATAATCTTCCCATACATGTTGTAATACCCCCATGAGCTTGCCAAAGGTACTGACTGGGTGCTGATTTCAGGTTCACATACAAATGTGACTAGCGGTTACAGTTCCATAAGGAGGTGGAAGCAGAAGAAGAATTGGCGTCACCCTTCAGTTTTTCAACCAAAAGGAGGTAACCTTTATAAATGATTCATACAAGCTTCTCTGTTTTGTATCTCTGAAATTTGAGTTCTTTGACTAAAACTGTGAATAGTGATTGGTAAGTATTTCGCATTTTTTTTCTATGGGCCATTTGTGTTCTATTTGGGTTGTATTTTGAGTCATGTAATTTAAATTGCAAAAGGTAAATCCAGTATGCAAGCTCTCACGGGAAAGTTGAAGTTGAAGTTGAAACTACACTATGGAATGTTAAATATTTAGTCGAAATCTGAAGACCGAAAAATAAAATGACTAAGAAGCTAAACTGAGTAGAGTTCAAATTTTTAGCCTCAAATATCCTTAGGCGGACACAAAATTTTGACCCCAACATCCAGTTTAATTAATTCAATTTTGATAAGTGAGTTAAGAGTTTTTCTATGACTGTATTACTGTGTTTGATAAATGAATGACAAATTGGAAATAGTTTCTTACTTACGTTTTTCTTAGGTCTGTACTAAATTGAATGTTGGTTTGGTTATTTCCGAACTTTTCACATAACTTTCATTACCCAATAGAGACTATGAAAAGCCCAACCTTAATTTTGTAAATTGATTTTGGTACCTGCAAATGAGAAAAAGGGTAAAGTTTCACATCCCTTTAGTGTTTGATCCTGAAATTAATTTTTCTGTGAGTCCTGGATCTCTGTACATTTTGGGTAAATTTCAACAACTTTCTCTTTTCGAATGCCTTTTTATTTTCTATTTTTGCCTTTGAGCTTCTGCTTTTTGGGCATTTTGGGTTGTATTTCCTATTTCTCAGTCGACTGGAAATATTGAGGGAGGGAGAGAGAGAGAGAGAGAGAGAGAGAGAGAAATTGCTCTTCAATAACTATGCTTCTATATTTCTTAGGGTCTGGAATTTGATTAATTAGAAATGACAGCTTGATTTGACTGGTGTTTTATTTTTTATTTTTGTATCAATTTAAGGTACTATGAGTTGGGACCCGACAATCTACCATATGCTGCCAAGTTCTATGACTTCTGTGGGGCTGAGGGTCTTGAGGCATCCAGCTGCACTACCAGTTTCCATGTTTTGTATGATGACAATTGATTCATGTAAATCTCTCTTTTAAGTTTCATGATTTCATTCAGTCTTGCCCTTGCACTCTTAACCTCTTTTATATCTTTTATAAAAGATAGTCTCATCTCTTTTATATATACATGAAGTTGATGAGTAATTAGGTTTTTTTTTTTGTTAAGGTGTGCGTTTTTTTTCATTATTGTATTAATGTTTTCTGCTGTTGTTTATATAATTCTAAGAGGAGAGAGATTAATGGCATGAGGGTAAAAGAGACGGGAAGGAAAGGGAAAGATGAGGAATGCACAGGTTTGGCCTATTTTGCCCTGAGTTTTTTTTTTTTAATTGGTTTGGGATTTTGTTTATGTTTTGTGCCCTAATTAATATTGTTTTGAATTCATATAGAATTTTGTTTATGTTTGGGGTTGTCATGTTCGAGTATTTAATTTGGTATTTGGTAGTTTACGTTACAGTTGTTGTCGATTTTCTTAAAGGATAAATCCAGGCGATAATGCCTTCTCTGATATATGTGCAAATGTTAACATTTGTAGATTTTCAGTTTTTAAACAATAAGATAATGTAACCGTTCAAACTCCAGAGTGCTTTGTCATTAAGGTAAATGATTTTCGTTTGTTGCTTTGTGCCTTTTGTGATTAAGAAAGTTTAGTCATTTGTTTATTCACATATTAATTAATTGGTGAGAGGATGAAATATTTCACTGCTGGTTACTAAGAAACTAATAGAATCTGACAGAAACGAATAGAATCTGACAGAAGAGTTTTCGTTTCTTTTTCTTTGCTTGCATTAATTTTGTATTGTTTTTTTATTTTAGAATTCTTTGTGCATATTTTTGGGGATTTTTATTTGGTTAGAGAAAGGGGAAGAATATAGGGAGAGGAGAATTATATCCTTCAATAGAAATGCTGCATTCGTATTTATGTAATTGGTTCCAGGGTTGAAAAAACAGTTAAGTTATTATATGGAAAAGTTAGAATATAATTGCTATATATGGAAGAGTTGGAATATAATTACCAGGACAAAATGTTAAGCCTGCTCTCTTTCAACCTTAAATACATTCTCTTTTCTATTTGACAATTGTTGATTTATTATAATTTTTATGCTTTGCCTGCATGTTGATGCAACCGATATTCATGGGCAATTTCACGACCTTCCAGAGCTTTTTCGAATTGGAGGGAAGGTATCAGATCTTAAATACCAAATCTTCAGGTGAATTGGCCCTTGCCATTACCTGGAAATGACTCCTCTCACTCCCAAAAGATAAATTCAGGTATTGCATGTTGGATTTCAGTTCATTTTAAGGTTAATCAAAGGTAATCCTAACAATTGCATTTTTCCGGTGAGATTCAGAAATTCGACGGGTAATTTTTGGTTAAACGGCAAGCAAATGTCGTCCTAAGTGTCGTCATCCTTCTTGGTACAAGGCCACAGCGCAACCACACACCACCCTTCTGCTCCTACTGGTGAGGTAACATCACTATTTAATATGGGGGAATTTGTGATGTGGTTATTAATCTGCTTTTCGATTTATTTACTATTAAAATGTGTATGTTGCTTAGATTTATGTTGGTTTCGATACGAAAACTAATTTGTTCTGGTAAGTAGTAATGGCCTATTAAATTGGGAACACATTTTTGTCAAATGAAACTATGCTTGCACAAATTTTGTCAAAAAAACTTTGATTTAGATATCTATATTTGTTGTTTTATTCTATTGACAATTCGTTGTTTGACTGGTTTTGTTGCTTTCCTCCACTTTTTAACTCATATTCGTTAATCTACCTATTTTATTTGGGTGATAAGTTAACTCTTTTAATCTTAAGCTAAAGGAAGATATAGGGTGTGGTTTTGTTAATGGCGGTGGATGATTTGGATGGAAGTATGTATCTTGGGGATTTTTTTGCTTGCAGTTGTTTAGGCCAACACTAAAGAAGTTTTGTGGAATGAGATTCTTATCAGATTCTTATACCAAATTGTTTCTCTGTTTATGGCAGGTAATAAACGTGGTCCAACCAGAATCTGATAAAATGTCATTGTATATATGCTTTTCTCGATTTCTGCTACGATAATGAGGGAATAGAGAGGATTGCGGCCAGTCAATCTGAGGTTTGTACTACTCTATCCCTTTCTTTTTCTCTCTGTGAATTTCTTGAAATTGACGATGCATGTTCTAATTCTTGCTGTGTTTGGGAGCGGTGAAAGCTCTAGATTAGCTTTGATCACTTGAATTTTTTTCTTATTTAGTTCAGCACAGTTGGACTACATAATCCTACCATTAGGCTATTTCTAGGGATGTTTATGTTTACTTTTGTTAGTCTGTTGACAGTTTGGTATGTCTATCATATTGATGGAACTAAATTGTGAGTTAATTATGGTTTAGGTTGATCAATTTTGAATTCGGAATTCCCTTGGAAACTGTCACAAGTGGTGTGTCTGTTGTGGTTACATGAATCAAAAGCGAGTGAAAGGTAAAGCTTCTCTCCAAACATTCATCACCAGCAATTCCAATCAGAGCCAGGTATATCTCTCCTCTTGCTTTCTCTCTACGATGTTCTATCCCAATTTCTCTCAGACAGTAAGGGTTTTGGTTTGCTTTCTTGGATTAAATTTGTATATATTCCATTGCATCTCAGTTTTCTTTGATTTAATAGCATAATCTGGCTCTTGGTATTCTAACTTTGCTTTCTTTGCATCAAAATTGTATCTGGCTCTTGGTTTTCTTGATCTAATTTTTTATTTATTTCAATAATTAGATAAATTAAGGAAAGAATTTCTATTAGTATGAGTATTCGATTCTGATATATCATTATCCTCCATTTGACGTGATTTTGGATTATTAGGACTAATGCAAGGATATATTAGACATTTAGTGTTTTCAGGCATTCGCGTGTTTGCTTATTATAGATGATGTATTTCTGTAGTGCACTAATATTTGTTTTAAAAAAATTAATTAGTTTTTCCTCCCTGGTGTTTGCTAAAGGTGCTGCTCGAGACGATGTTGGAACGTGCAGGTGATAAGGATTCAGGGGATGAGGAGGAAATGGCAAAGGAGGAGGACCAAAACGCGTTCTCTGTTAGGATAATTGGTGCCCTGAATGCCATAAAGTCTGCACTCACCACTCATTAATTATATGGTTTGTTTTTGATAAATTGTTGAATATATTGTTAGTTTAGTTATTGATTGTATTGAGTGTGGTTTATGCTTTTGGTATTAAGTATTTTTTTCATATCCCTGAACTCCTTTTCAGGTAGAGAAACGTGAGTTCTTCTAAGGTGTTTAAGTGAGTGTTGGTCAGAGAGTATTTTGTTTGAATATCTGTCCGAACAAAAAATTTCTTTGGAATGAAATAAATGAAACAACTTTTGAGACTCCCACATTTGAGATTTGTATTGGTTATGAAAGTATAAGACCAAAAGTTACATTTTCATTCCCATTTACAGAAATACAACTTGCAGAATTAGTTAAATGTATCAAATGACTAGCATGTGAATTTGTGTATAGTTAAAAAATAATCTTATCCTTAAGGATTATTGATTGGGCAAATTTGGTTGAGTAAATTTAGGGTTATTGATTGGGCTAATTTGGTTGATTAGTTGATCTGATTTGGATGGGTTTGAGGGTTAGTTTCTAGGAATGTTCCATTGGTGTTCTTTTTCTTCTACACAGTTACCAAAATCTCAAGTTTCCATTTGATCCTCGAGTACAACCCAATCATATTTGCTGTAATACAATCATATTCTTTTAGAAAATACATGCATGTTCTCTAAACTAAAATACACTTCTCCGATTGTTGTGATTATTGGATTGGATTGGATTAGATTTTCCTTATTTACCTTCATATAATGGTGGGTTTTAACTTTTCAGGTGAAAGTTTTTACGCAACCTCATTACTTGGAAAATTTTGTTCAATCAACATTCAATGCCCTGCCATCAGATCAAGTTAAAGGTACGAATCACTATCATACTATTTTTGTCACTTTGTATTACCTTGCTGAACACAATGGAGTGAATTGTCTTCATTTGCATTCTTGCATTTGAACTTACGTATGTTCTTACTTGACATTTGTAAGCTTTTGATTAGTCATGAAATATGATACATTTTCTCTGTGTTTACAAACTTATGACATACAATCAGTTTCTTTTTGGTTGGGTTGAAATGATATTGATTGTGCTGTTATAAAGCTCCTTTTTATAGTTGGGTTGAAAATCATGTTAATATAATATTTTTTTGGTTGGTCCAATCTGTAACAGATGAGATTGTTTTGTTTGAATCCAAATTTGATCTTTTTTTGTGTGAAATTATAATGGAATTGCAAATTTGTCAGGTATATCTTAAGATTCTTTGTTGCATATTTACCTTTTCACAACTTTTACATTGTCTCTTGATTGGATGAATTTTTATAATTTCCATGATCAACGGATGCATGAAGTAAGGAGAAAGCTACTACTCTTATGGAGCTTCTTTGGCTTGGTAAGTTGAAGTTGCAAATCATTTTTTTCGTTCCTTTTCTGCTTAATTTATCTTGAGAATATTTGCATCTTAATACTTATTTCAAATATGTTAATTTGTCCCCTTTTTCATAGAATTTTGTGCAATGTGAATGTAGGTTATTCTCAATCCACAGATAGTGATTATTTAACGACTTCTCCAAACTTCGCTACTCAGCTTTTCAAGTACTTGCAATTTATTCTTAATCATTCTAAATTATTCTTAATCATTTACAACTTGCAGAATTAGTTAAATGTATCAAATGACTAGCATGTGAATTTGTGTGTGCGGCTAAAAATAATCTTATCCTTAAGGATTATTGATTGGGCAAATTTGGTTGAGTAAATTTAGGGTTATTAATTGGGCTAATTTGGTTGATTAGTTGATCCGAATTGGATGGGTTTGAGGGTTAGTTTCTAGGAATGTTCCATTGATGTTCTTTTTCTTCTACACAGTTACCAAAATCTCAAGTCCCCATTTGATCCTCGAGTACGACACAATCATATTTGCTATAATACAATCATATTCTTGAGGTTTGGATTTTTTACTCTCATGTTTCTGCCCAATCATATTTGCTCATGTTTTCGCTGTTAGAAAATACATGCATGTTCTCTAAACTAAAATACACTACTCAGACTTCTGTTTCTTATGGAAACAGGTGCCCTATGTGTTTTTGGCTTTGCACGTTTGTGCTTGAAAACTTAGATGCCAGAATAAGAACAAAACAGGTTTTTTTTTTTTTTTTTTGTTTGACAACTGCTAAAACATGTGCCTAACCTACAGGATGTATATTTTGCCACCTTGACTGCAAGGGCAAGTTTTGTGTGAACTGGATGTTGCTTTTGTTTCTTCTGTTTATTAGTGAAACAGAATGTTCAGTTTCGTCCTGTTAATTGTACAATGTCTTTTCATGTCAGCTAAGTTGAATGTATATAAAAACGAAGTTGCATATCTTACCGATCTCATTCACTCATCTATCCCTCTGTTCATTCATGATTATGTTGAATTTATTCAGGTAAAATGTGTCTTATTCATGCAGTTAAAGGTGATGCATTCAAGTCCCGCAGCAACGCGCGGGCATATTTTCTAGTTTAAACTAACCTAAATAATAGATTAATCTAAACAAAATTAAACGCGCACGAATCAATTGTAATAATATATGCAAATACGAGTCGATCCCACTGGGATTGCTTTAACACCAATTTAATCGATTAATCACGCTAGACTTAATTAAACAACAAAGGGATAGATTGAATTGAATAATTGAGTAATTGATTAAAACTAAAATTAACAAGAAAAATAAAAGACAATTAATTAAAACAAACACATGACACAAGAAAACCTAAGGTTATGAATCTACCAACAACAATCCTATTTACTTTTCCTAGAGTCAACTACTATCCAATTACCATGCCAATGTTAAAGGTTGTTCTTTCAAATGCATGCCAACAATAAATTCAAAAAGATGCCACAGTAGAATATCTCAATGGCAATATGAATATAATCAGGTGTTCAACAAGCTATACAAGCTCGCAAGTCGGAGTCACCTAATGTGACATGTACGACTGCACCTATTGCTTATCCATCTAGTCTAACACACGAGTCGGAGTTGCCTGATGTGACCTATACGACAGGCTAAGTGTAATAATAATATACGCTCTAGTGCTATGATCATGTGAAACTAGCGCTATGTGTGGTCACCTACGAGTCGGATTCGCCTAATGCGACCTGTACGACAAGCTAGCACCTACTTGGATCCAAGGTAAGCGTGCGGTGCGGAGGTGAACATACACGTGAAGGACTAGCCTAGCCTTGGGCTGAGCACTAACACCTGGGTGTAGCAATGATGAGCCGACTATATGAATATGAGTATGCCAAACAATTCAATCATCCCCACAATAGAATAAACTCACCTGGACGTACATGAGAGTCCTATAGAATGACTTAGCATTTTGCAATAGCATAATATTTATGAGTAGGTAAAATGCATATGAATATGCCATGATCAAATATATAAATCTTAACCACATAACAACATTTTTAAAATTATATAACTCATGGCATAATATGCATAGAACAATTTAAAAGCATTTGTGGAAACTATAAAGTGTGTGTGTATAAATTTGTGTGTGTGTGTGTGTGTGTGTGTGTGTGTATGAAAACAAAATGCCCACTCACTGGTATGTCGTAGGGTCATGGCCCCCTAGCCTCGCTTGTCCACGTACGTCCTCAGGGTAAGTTTCCCCTATATGCGAAACTACTACTTATAATTAATTAATAGGACATAAACGGAAAAACTAGGATAAACTTCCCATAATTTGCTCAAACAGAAGGTTTGAATATACCAAAATGTTCTACTCAAAGTCATGGACCTGCACGTAAAAACCAATCCCCGGCCGGAGGCCAGACGCGCCCTCACGCGCTGTCCAACCCACAGCCATGCGCAGGCATGCGTCTGACAGAAACCTAACAACAATTAGGAATATTCTGTTAAAGTGACGGAATATTCTGTTAAAAGTTAACGACGTTACCTGACGTCGTTAGAATATTCCATCAACTTTGACAGAATATTCCTTGTCTTCTCCGATAAGCCTCGCTATCCGTCGCCATTTGCCGGTGACGCCGTCTGGTTTCGCCGGAAACTGGAAGAACTCGTCGATTTCTAGAAAATTTTCAAAACTTCATATCTTCTTTATTTCTCAACCATTTTCGACGCACTTTATATGGAAACGAAGGGAATGAAGAGGAGACCAAGTTTGTACCTTTAGAAAGTCCAGAAAAGTGGATGGAAATTGTCTGAAATTAGTTCGAAGCTATCAGACCTTATTTTAACTCCTTGAAACTGTATGTTCTCGCCTTAACTTCACTCCAAACTTAGTCTAGGGTCACCCTGGAGTTGTGTGGAAACTTCCCAGACCTTCAAAACCTTGGTACGCAGTCGAGATCATGTCGATGTAGAACTCACTAAGTAGGAGCTTCTGAGTTGCTCTGCGTTGACCACTCAAAACTCAACCAACGCGTGATCTTAAGGTATAGTTAAGTTCGTGGTGACGAGAGGAGTGTGATGGTGTGGTTCTTGAGCTCGATCTACAAGGTTTTGACGTTGGTCTTCCTTGTTGCAGAGAAAGAGCTTCGGTGAGGGAGAAAGAAGAGAGAGAGTGAGATTGGGCAAAGAGAGAGGGAGAGAAACTTATTAGGTGAGAAGTGTAAGGGACAAATTTGATTGATGGTAAGGTGTAAGGAACGGGTCTGGCTTTAAAGAAAAGAAGGGATAAGATTTTTAGGCTTAACAGTAAAAAGGAAATCAAGAAATGTATCAAAAACAATGTGTCTAACAATGGTAAATTAACACACGCTTGTGTACAATTTTACCCACCAATTACGTACTTTAATGTAACGTAACTTTATCGTTATGAATCCAATTCGGGTCCAACTCGCACTCACGAGATCGTATCAACGAATACTAATTAATTACGATAGCGAGAAAAGTAATTTAAGAACAAATAAACACGTCCACGTCACTTGCCAACAAGGGCATAAATGCCAATTCACATACTCGGGGAGAAATTACATAGAAACTTAGGGACGGGTCGTCATATCAAACCTAGAATAAAATACCCACAAAGATTAAGAATATAACATGGCATATAATCGGATAATAATAAACAAAGTACTTCGCAAATATTCATATCATGGCTTCATCATAAACCTTAGAAAATAACTAAGTTACACATAGAAATAAAAATAAAAGAAAGATAGAACCCGGAGTCCATGGCAAAGCACGTCCCTAAGCTCTTCTTCACAACTTGCGAAGATGGTGAATGGTAGTATGGTGTGGGGTGATGTCTGGATGCGAGGGTGCGGGCGGTACATAGAGAGAGCTTAAGGACCTTATTTATACTAGAAAAACCCTAAAAGGTCTGGGAGAAACTCTCCTAAAATAAAACAAACTCCTAAACAATTAATGACACAAACTAGGAAAGAATCCTTCTTGACTTGGGAAACACGTCATCTGTCTTGCACGCTAGTTTTGGGATCGATTTATCTTTTGGAAAATTCTGTAAAAATATGAAAACGTAGCTTTATCTCTTATCTTTCCAGGCATATATCGCACATCACTAGGAAAAATCCGGAAAGCCTCCAAATCTTCATTCTCCTACAGCTGCGCAATTCTGACGAGAAAACAACTTCTGCAAGATTGATTTGTAAAACTGGAATGAATGGCTCCATGAAAAATTATGAAATTCTGTCACAACAATCTTCAGCCTCTTAGCTTCCTTCTTTAATTGGCCTTGCATCAAAACTCTTCTGGAAAGTCAAATTATCACCAAAAACGTTCTGCGTGCGCATAATAGCTGAAATTAAGGAAAAGAAAGTAACAAGTGTGAACACGAAAGTTCCTTGAAACAAGAAACAAGAATAACGTGTACAAAATAATATTTTGTGTTTAATGATTTTCGGGTTACGATCTCTCTCAAATTTGGTCCTCTGATTCTATCTTCGTAGGGTGTAGGTTTGTGGATGAGTTGTTGATCCAAAGGGCCGTCGGGGCTTGATCTAAGGATGAACAGTTGATGAACGGATGAACACTTTCTTCAAGGGTCGTCGGGGCTTGATCTTGAATAATGGTTGTGTGGATTTCTTCAAGGGCTTTTGGGCTTGATCTTGAAGGTTGATGGATGAGCGGATCTTCAAGGGCTTTTGGGCTTAATCTTGAAGAACGATTGGATGTGTGGATTTGTTGAGGTTGTTGATCCAAAGGGCCGTTGGGGCTTGAGCTTAGGATGAACGGATGATGAATGATGAACACTTTCTTCAAGGGCCGTCGGGGCTTGATCTTGAGTTGGTGGATGAGCGGATCTTCAAGAGCTTTTGGGCTTGATCTTGAAGAACGGTTGGATGTGTGGATTTGTTGATGTTGTTGATCCAAAGGGCCGTTGGGGCTTGATCTTAGGATGAACGGATGATGAACAATGAACACTTTCTTCAAGGGCCGTCGGGGCTTGATCTTGAAAGAGGATTTAACGAAGAACGAAGAGAGCTTTCTTGATCCTTCGGAATTCTTGGGAATTTGGATGGTTGGAAGCTTTGGAGTTTCAAAGCTTCAAGGATTTGGGGAATTCCTCTTCTAATTTTGGAGTAGAGAAATGTATTTGTGAATTCCTTGATGCTTGATACCTTGATGGAGAAGCCTATTTATAGGCTTTGAGAATGAATCACCACCACAAAAATATTTTTTTCCTTTCCAAGCACCATTGCCTAATTTTCCCACTTAATGCAATATTGAAATTGAAGTGGTGTAACTTATGGCCTAATTTCCCACTTAATACCATTTTAAACTTGAAGTGGTGTAACTTATGGCCTAATTTCCCACTTAACACCATTTTAAACTTGAAATGTGTATGCTTTGTCATTGCCCAAATGAGAAAAACTTGCTTTGATCCGTAATGGATTGAAGTGTGCTTGCCTTGTCATTGCCCAACATGAGAAGAAAAACTTGTTTTGATCCTCAATGGATTGAAATGTGCTTGCCTTATCATTGCCCAAAAATGAGAAGAAAAACTTGTTTAATCCTTCAAGGGTATTTCTTCCTATTTTGTTGAGTCACACGCCATGTGTACAATTTGTACAACACGTGGCGTATGCCATGTATGCCTTGACACGTCAAAACTTTAATGCATTGGTGAACATTTGTTTTACTGAAATTTCGATGTCTACAACAAGGTTCTTTTATAATCAATTCCTTAACAAAACTTAAGGATAATTAACATGAAAATATGATAAATAATGCACCTATTACTGTGGTAAATCAGGAAATGGCACAACCACTGGCAGGACCTGCAGAAACTCCATTGAATGGGCAGTTTCAGTACTAGGGATGGGCACGGTACGGTTCGGTGCGGTTCCACCTCTAAACTGGAACCGGAACTGAAATATATTAACGGTTCGATTCGGTGCGGTTCCACTTAAATTTATTACTAGAACATTACGGTTCGGTTTACACCGGTTCCGATTCGGTTCTTGCCGGTTTACGGTTCCTAATAATAAATTATTTGAACACCAAATCATTATGCATTCAAATACATCTTCTAAAACTGATTACATAAAGTTGCATACAACACATCTTTTTTAATGCACATGTCTTTGATAGTGGCACCAAGTCAACAAAAAGAGACAACTAAAATACATATGCACTAGTCAATCAGTCAACAAACAAAAAAATGATGAAGCAAATTGCAGGTTTTCAGACTTCAGAGAGCAAGCAGGAAGCAGCAGCTCCTGTACACAATTTTTCAACCTATTATACCATGACATGTGTGTGTATATATAATTTATTTATTTATTATTAATAAAACGGTTCGGTTCGGTTCGGCCGGTTCTTAGTCATTCGAAACCGGAACCGGAACTGGTTTGAACGGTTCGGTTCAGTTTTTCACTCAAAGTTGACTTTTCCGATCAACACGGTTTTTTTCGGTTTTTTTTCTTACGGTTCGATGTGGTTTTGCGGTTTTTATGCCCACCCCTATTCAGTACCATGGTCCTTTTTTCTCGATGGGCCCATCTTTCTACTCCCATAAATATGCCTGGCTTCACTCCGCTGAATTCTTCGAGACTAATTCATGGGTCAGTATCTATCTGCTTATATTTGCTACTCCTTATGCCAGAAATCCAGCTTCCATCTCAGTTCCTCCCAGACTCGCAACATTTACAGACTCCCGTACCGTTCTACCTCGGACTCGAAAGCCGCCAATGAGACCTGGTAACTACAATCCAACTCAGCAGATTCCCAATTTTCCCAGTCCTCTGCCTCGAAGGCCAGGAAATCATACTCAAATTCAACAAAACTGTCCTGCTCACTCAACTCGACCTGAGATCCCACGGGCTTCAAATCAACAGTTCACCAACAACCTCGCATTTGCCTCTGGTAAGTCGGTGTCTAGTCCTGGAGGAGGACAGCAACTTTTTAATCCTTTCTCGCCCACTACTGCGAATAAGCAGTAGGGAGGCAATCTAGGAAAGATGTGGAAGCAAGCGAATGATCTATAATAATGGGATTTGATTGCGTTGGTTGGAGTTATACAACTTAGGATTTAGTGAAACAGATAACCAAACAAGAATTTTAGTTCTTGTAGTCCATAGGTCATATAACATGTTGCTTGGACAAAACTTCTTTCATATTAACATGTTTCCCTTTCGCTTTCCAAGTTATGTCTTACTGTTATTAATTTTTTATACAAGCAATAATGAATGGGAAGGTGAGATTCGAACATAGAAGCTCACGTGCAAGGGTAAAAATGCTTTTACGCACTTAAGCGATGAGCCCTTGCCTTTCCATTTCCTTGTTGAGTGCATTATTCTCAACACATTAAATTACTTTCATTACTAGCTCATAGGTCACGAATTGCTAAAATAAAACGGTGATCCCATAATCAAATCCCATCAAAGGGAGAAATTACAATAGATTAGATTTATGTGGTTTCGTTAAAATCTTTGTCGGAAAAAATCAAAATGAGAAAAACTCCAAACTTAGGAAAAAGAGTACCACAGTAATATTACAAATCAGTTACAACGGAACTCCAAACTTGGGAGAAAGAGCAGCACACTTATATTACAAATCATTAAAAACGGAGAAAACAAATATAACAATCCGGAGAGCTAATCCACTAGAGTTTGGAGGAATGCGGGAGCAGAAACCTTGGCCTAGAAAATAGCCATGGTTGTCGTCAAAGAATCGCTCTCAAAGCAAGACAGAACCAGCCCTACTGTGTGAGCCAAATCCCAAATGAAAGCCTCCCAAAGCAACCACTCCTCAATCCCCAAAAATCTTGAGCCAAATGAACGACATAAATAAAAAAACTTAAAAACACTTTAACAACTTCTCTAATTATTTGTACATGATTCCACGAAATATTGTGGATTGCTTTACTTACGAGAATAAAGGACGATTAACACAATAATATTAAAACATTTCTTGAGAAATCATACCATCAACTTCAAATCATCTTCAGATCATCTCCAAAGGGAGCTCCTTACCAAATTTATCTCTATGTAAGGGATGTGAGATATTTTGGGCCAGTAGCGTCCTTTTCCTGGTTGGCATCTCTCTTTTAGCACAGGACACCCACAGATGCGAAGTTGCCTATTCCTGATTCAGGAAGCCATTTATTCTGAGTTCAGTGAGAGATCTGGGAAGCAGCGTCTCCATCCAGACCATGTCGTGTGGAAACAGCACCGTATTTGGGTCTTCACCACTGATCCACAAGTATCTCAGAGAGGTCAGTTTGTGCAACCCTGACTCTAACTCCCAGAGTGGCTTTCAACTCTTGACCTTCCAAATATAAAGTGATGTTAGGTTGGGGGGACTGAGCAAGTCAAACCTTCAAAGTAGTCGATGTCCAATTCCTTAAGAGAGTTGAGATTATGCATGCCTAGGGGCAAAGCCTCCAATTTGTCGCAATTGGTGATCAGGATGTTTCTCAGGTTGGAGGCTCTTCTCCCCCCACTCAATCTCGGGATGGAAACAGGACTTCCACATAAATCAATATTCAACGTTTGAAGATTGTTGAGGTGGCATAAGCCATCCGGTAAGGATTTCAAATTTTGGCACTCCCATATCTTAATACATTCAAGACAGTGATTAGTGTTGTTGCCGAAGAACCCGTCCGATGCTATTAACTCTTGTTGTTCACAATAACACATCTCAAGGTGTTCAAATGTCCTGAGAAGCTGACCTCTCAAGGATAACGACGTCAGAGATTGACATTCCTGGATATTCAAGTACTCAAGATAACTGTGAGCGAAAGACGACCAAGAACCAACGGCCTCCTCATCTACTAGTGATTTCAATCTTTTGCAATTTCTTATCTCTATTCTTCTGAGATTTTGGGGAATCTGGTGTTTTGCAAAATAAATCAACGAATGACACTCTATAATCACGATGTCTTTAAGAGAAGGTGGCAAACCAACATCTGGAAAAGAACGTGGACATTCGTGTATGTGAACCTCCTGAAGAGACGACAACTGATTTAACCATTTTGATAGCTTCAAAAAAATTTTGTACTTGTTTAACTCCAGACATTCAATTGCAGCAACTCCTCTACTTCTTTTCCCAATTCTTCAACTAGAGGAGAGTTGTCTTCAATTTCCAAACGGCCAAGAAAAGTCAACTGTTGCAATAATCTAGCCTCATTTTTCAATGAAGACGTCAGCTCCTCGCATCCATTAATCTTCAAATCTTTGACCTTGGTTAATACCCTTCTGCACAATTCTCCTGTTTGCAGAGACATCAGCTCTGAAATGTTTGAAAGGCACAAGGACTCTAATAACTCAAACTCAACCTTAGCAGTTGTATGCACCACCCCTTTACAACCATCAATGTTTAATTGACAAAGTTGTTTGTAGTTGGCAATCGAAACCACTAATTCTTCACTTAACAATTTCACACTCGGCTAGCAAATTGAGGTTCTCTGGCAGCTTACCTTCCAACTTATAACATTCATTGATTGATAGCTGTTTCAGGCAAGGGAAAACATCCCCTCCTCGATCATGTTGGAAAGGAAGCCATTGCTTCCAATGCTGCATATCCACAAACTCAAGAGTCTCTAATAGCAGAAAAGGCAAGATACACTCTCCATAAAACTCAGCACCAACACTTTCAACTGCATTCATTCCTCTAATATAAAGTTCTTTGAGATGAGGCAATTGTCCGAGAGGTAGTAGATATAGACAATTGTAGATTCGTCAATCGGCCTAGTTGCGGAGGCATTCCTTTCAACGAAGATACACTTGATATTGCGGAGGCATTCCTTCCAATATCAATGTCTGCAAGTTGTAAAGAGTACCTGTCGATTTAGGCAAACTTGTTATATCTGTGTAGGAAAGGTCGAGATACCGTAGATACCTTAAATCACCGATTAAGTTTGGAAGCTCCTTCAGTTCATAGCCATTCAAAGAGAGCACCCGTAAATATTGCAACTTTGGAAGCTCCTTCAATACGGGTATTTTACATATCAAAATAAGTGGAGAGGTACAAAAAAATATCATTTCTTTCACTTATTTAATAACATGTAGAATACTGTTTGAATACACGGTACTTGAAAATCTCTCTGTCTTGTATGACAAAGTAAAAAAACTGGATCCAACTTCCAGCAGGATTACATCTCCAGATATGTTGTTTTTATGAGTGCAACTTTCCTTTTCATAAACCATTACCAACAATCACATCCTCATCTTCTCAACAAATTCAATCTTCCCTTACCCATCAACTCTAACATTTACCTCTATCAGTCAACCTACTTCACCTATCCCAAACACACCTCAACCTCAAACATCATCCAATACATCACATCACCAAATACTTTCTAGGTTTCTTACTCTTCACCAACACCACAACCTCAATCCAATACCAACACCAATATCCATTTTATGCAAACCATATCAAAATCTGGTATTTTCAAACCTAAAGCCCTAACTGCTACTGAACATCCAATACCATCTCATCCAGTCTTGATTATGTCTCATCTACCTATCTTCAGGCATCTAAGCACCATCATTGGAGACAAGCAATGCAAGAAGAGTTCAATACTCATCTAAGTACTGGAACTTGGTCCTTGGTTCCTTCCTCTCCATCTCAGAATCTTGTAGGTTGCAAGTGAGGGCTTTAAATCAAGAAGAAGCTTGATGGTTCAATAGACATGTACAAATATCGGCTTGTTGCCAAGGGATTCCATTAATAGGAAGGGTTAGACTACACTGAAACATTCAATCATGTAGCTAAACCTGTAACAATTAGACTTCTTCTCACCTTAGCTGCCCAATATGATTGGTTTCTTAACAAACTTAATGAGAGTAATGCTTTTCTGCATGGTACTCTCACAGAATCAATGTTTATGCAACATCCTTCTAGATTTGAAGGTTCTACATAGCCAAATTTTGTATGTAAGTTGCATAAGTCCTTGTATGGAATCAAACAAGCTCCAAGAGCTTGGTATGAAAAGCTAAATGGTGCATTACTTTCTCTGGGATTTGGTGGTTCACAATCTGATCATTCCATGTTTGTCAAGAAAGATCCTCAATTGGTTTTCATCCTAGTTTATGTTGATGACATTCTTGTCACTGGTCCATCTCCTCAAGCTTGCAAGCAGGTTATTCAACAGTTAAGCGCTCTATTTCCTATCAAGGATCTTGGTTCGTCAAAAGTTCTTCAAAGGTATCGTCATATCTCAAACTAGGTACAATCTAAATTTGTTACAAAATGTCAAAATGGATGGTGCTAAACCATGTGTTACTCCCCTTAGCACATCTAAACTTGATCATGATTCTCCTTTCTTGGACAATCCCATTGAGTACATATCACTTGTAGGACCACTGCAATACCTCACCTAGACCAGACTAGAGTCACTAGATCTTTCTTTTGCAATGAACTTTGTTTGTCAGTTTATGCATTGTCTAAGAGTTTCTCATCTTCAAGCAATTAAGAGAATTCTCAGGTATCTAAAAAATTTGTTGATCTTGGCCTATGGTTTTCTAAAATGCTCTTCTATTCCCCAGTATAAATGCCTATTGAGATGCAGATTGGGCAGGTTGTACACTTGATAGAAAATACATTGGTGGTTTTTGTGTATTTTTGTGCAACTCTATCATCAGTTTGAGTGCCAAAAAGCAACCTAAAGTGGCAAGATCCTCCACAAAGGCTGAATATAGGTCATTGGCTAACACTGCTGCAGAAATAAAGTATCTCAGCCATCTATATGGCCAAGAACCTTATTTTCCATGCTAGGACTAAGCATGTTGAATTATGTTACACCCGCCCCCGCTTATAAATGTAATTCTGTAATTATCCCCAAGAATTTATAAAATTATCACTTTAATCCCTATTTCTTCTTCACCCAATCAGGATCTGGAAAAGAGATTTGTTCCTATCCCTAAGCTGCCACGTGGCAGCACCCCAACACACCTATATTTTCTCTTTTTGTCCCCTACCCGTGACCCCCTTCTCTTTCTTTCTCTTTCTTTTTTTCTTTCTTCTTTCTTTCTCTACACACTCTTTCTTCCCTCTCTCGAAACTCTCTTGTCTCTCCCTCTCTTACACCGTGACCACATACACGCACCTATAACTGCACCTGCTCGAGGAAATCATCACCATCATCGCCATCAACCTCGTTTTTCTCTCCCTTGCTCTCGTCGCCGTGAGGACGCTAGAACCGAGAACTCTCCAACGAGTTTCCTTTGTTTTTCCGGTTTGGTAAGCTTTGATTTTTCCCTCTATCTGTTTTAGTTATTGCCTGGATGTGTTTTACTGAGTTTGAGCTTGTTATTTCCAAGGTTTTAGAGTGAGATCGGCTCGGGTGAAGGCACACCTATCTCCGGCGAGCTTGTGGTTGTCGAGGAATTTTTCGACCACCACAAGCCGTTTTACGGCGAACCAAAGGTATAAAAACACTCATCTCGTCTAGTTCTTCATTTTGATACCTAGATCGGGGTCTAAAGTGCACGTTTACAGTTGGCCGGAGCTGTAGAAGCTCCAGCATTCTTCTCCGGTTAGCACCAGGCCGTTTGTCCACCCACGGGCCTTAGGCCTGTTTTGTTTCAAACCCAAAACCCTTTTTATTTTTCTTTTGTTTTATTTATTTTAATTGTTTTAAGTTAAGGGCCCTTTGGGCCCTTTTTGCTAAAGCCCAAAGACCCAAGCCTTAAAGGCTTTAAGCCTTCGGGCTGTCTCTCTCTGTCTCCTTAGGCCCTTGGCCTTGGGGCCGGGCTTTAAGCCCATTTCCTTAAAACCTTGAACCCTTAAGGACCCAACCCAAAAACCTAAACCCAATACCCAAACCCTAGGGCCCAAACCTGAACCCAATACCCAAACCCTAAACCGGGTTGACCCGGGTTGATCTGACGGGTTGACCCATGACCCGCTGACTTTGACCCGTTGATCGTTGACTGGTCAACGATCAGCGTTGACTTTTGACATTGACAGTCAATGGTCAATGTTGACCGTTGACTTTTTGGGTTTTCGTGCAGGACCCCTCATAGGCTAATTTCGACGTTCTGTACCTGTTTTTGAAGTCCGTTTTCCCAAATTCAATCGTTTGAATAGAGTTTGATTGAAGGTACCATTTGTGTGTAGGTGCGATTAATAACAGTGATTCCATTATTCCTGTTTGGTACAGCTTTGCACCAATGGTGTACGGTGAGTGGACCCTTTCTAAAAATGCATGTTTTGATAGTAGAAATACATACATGAAAAGCATGATTTGATAACTATGTTTTATGAAACGTTTTATGAGATAACATGCTTACTGAGGCTAGTTTGAATTATTACTATTTTTCCTATAACCCATGTTCTTATAGAATATCCGATGGATGACGATATGATATTTAGAACATGTTTAGAACACTTCTTTATAGTATAGACGATGGATGACTTTATACTATGAAGTTGTTTTTCAAATGTATGTATGTATGTTCAGGTTTTGTGCTTACCTAGTGGTCCTTTCTGCTACGGGACGTAGGGATAGATCTGATCCGTCTCGGTCGATGGTTTGATGCTGGCATAGGGCTTGGAGTGTGTTTCCTCTGGCTATTTAGCACAGGAACGGGGAGCCGGCATGGGGCCTGTAGTGTATTTTCCTTTGACTGTCTGCTCAGAGACGGGGAGCCGACATGAGGCCTAGGGGTTATCGGACATACACTAGTGATTATTATATATACAAGTTATGTTTTGAGATAGGTTTCGGAAAACCTATGTTTATCATTATATATATGTGTTTTCATAAAATCTGGGGGTTAGTACATTGATAACTGTTTTATTATATATATATATATATATATATATCAACTTGGTCCACTCATGTTTGTTTTGCGCCCCCTTCAGGACCTATGAACGAAGAATACGATCTGAGCTACGAGGCATTCCCCTACTAGTGATATTGTGCTATATTCTCTCTGCTTCGACATCTGTTGTAATAGCATTTCTCTATCTTAGTTTTTGTTTGTACTCTGTAATAGACTTATGCTTTGGACGTGTCATGTATTTCCCAACTTTTAATACTTAGTAGTTGAACTTTAATTTTGTGTTATTATCCCCTATTGCATGTTTTAGCTTATTTCTCAACATTTGTTTAAATTAAATGGCTTTCGTCACCCTTTGGGTGTCGGCCAGCACGTGACCATCTCGATGTCCCTAGGACCTCGAGGTCGGGGCGTGTCAAAATAGACAACCACTGCATTCGTGAAAAAGTTTTGGCACAAGAAATCTCTGGTCATTTTGTTTGTTTACAAGATCAAGTGGTTGATGTCTATACTAAAGCTTTGTCCAAATCCAGGTTCATCTTTCTCAGAGACAAACTTGCACTTCGACAGCCTTAACTTAGTTTGAGGGGAGATATTAAGGGTAAAAGTGTAAATGACATTGTAAAAGATATTCCTTAAATATTGGACAATTTGTTGTGGTTAATTATATGGAGTGTTTTCTTATTGGTTGAAGATACATGTATATATACAGGTTGTAATGTTATTCCGATCATTCAATAAAAATATTATTTCCCAACATCATCAACATCTTGCATATGCCCCTATCTCAAAAAGGTAGGATTTCTCGGCAGAGCCGTCCGCATAGTCAAGTAAATAGGTTCTCGACAAAGTCGTCCGCATAGAGTCAAATAAATTTAAAA